AGGCTGCCTGGCATTGAATGTCCTCGGAGAACTGAGTCACTAGTGATGCAGACATTTAACATTGATATTTTCACATAGTTTGCAATCTAGCTAGGTGTAGCTACACAGGTTCTTCAGATTTTGGGAGGTGGTTGTTAATCCTGAAACCCTATAGTTGGGAGATTTACACTGAAGATGGGACAGGCTAGTAGCCAAAGGAAGTACCTTCTCTCTCACATTCTTGAGCAGGATGCAAAACATACATGCAGGCAAGAATGACACTCAAGTGGGGGAAGAGTGATGCAGGCTTAGGGGCAGGAATCTGATTAATTCCATATTCCTTTCCCAGCTTCCTGTGGTCTGGAGTAATTGTTCAGGGCAGGAGAGAATTCAGTGCCTACGTACTTTTGAGGATATGCATCTTACTACCTTGCCCATCTTGACAATAATGATAACACAGCTTTCCTACCCTTGAAGTACATTGCGAGGATATATGCGTTAAAGGTTGTGAGGCTTCTGTATCCTGTGATAAAGAATCCAAAAGCAGTACTGTGGACAGATGTGGGAATCAGACCAGTGCTCCTTCTGGTCAGGTGTCATCCTGTTAAATGTCTTCAGCTGCAGCAGAGGGAGGCACAAGAAATCCTAAGTTGTAAGAGTGGAACAACCAATATTTTCACTAGTGATCTTGAATTAAATGAGAATTTTTAAATTTGTATTTCTCAGGAGCTTGTGCATCTTTAAAAAAATAGTTTTAAGAAATAAAATATGCTGCACTAAACTAATCCTAGAGCTAACGAACAGGCATTGGGACTAGCAGCTTTTGCTATTACCTACTGCTTATTATTGTTATTATTATTATTTCTTTTTAATTATGCAAAGTGCTAATCAGTTTGATTATGCACAGTGCTAATCAGGTTAATTATGCAAAGTGCTAATCAGTTGTTCTCTAAGCACACGAGGAGAGCAGAGGTGCTGGCAGTGAATGGTGGTTCTAGATGGGGGTAGTCACGGCAGTCATTCCTTATTAAAAGAGGAGTAGGTGAGATGACAGGGGGTTTTGCTTCCATTAAAAAGTAAATAAAAAAAAAAAAAGAAAGCCATGAGGGTGATAGTTCTGGTGGGGTAATGTCGTCTTTCACAGCAAGGCAGACCTTTTTTTCCAAGCCAGCTCACGCTGTTGGATAATTTCTGTAGGAGTTTGAGTGCACTGATCTGGGCAAATACATTGCAGAGGAGTCTTGTAATGGGCGGGGTACAAGTTGCCCCCACTTGATAAGTCGGGATGCATAACTAGAAAATCACAAATTAAGGGAGTCTTTTTCAATCTAACGTACAGTCGCCTTTTAGGCACTGGTAAGTAGGATACCGATAATGTAACATGAATGGCAGTTGATCGTATGTTTGTATGGTTGAAGGTACTGCATGAGCATACAAAATGTGTTTCTTTCAGTGTAATGCCTTTACAAGCTGTAAGAACGTAGGGTGCCTTATCAGTGGAACGTACGTTAGGCTGCGTTTCCTCTTCCTCTTTAGTGCTAAATTATAAACCAGAATTTTGTGTTCCTGTGAAACAGGATCTGTTTTCAATAAGCTATGTTCTTCTGACAATTACTGAAGATTCAGTGCGTCTCTCTTACTGTGCTCAGTGTCTAATATCTAACCAGTATTCCTTATTTGATTATGTTTCAGTGTTGGTGTGGGATACATAAGCATTACTTTTTTCAGTTAGTAATGGAGATGACATTCCCAGAGCAGAGAGCTACTTGCTCATAAAAGTCTTGGGTAAAGGATCTTAACAGGTTTTTGAAGTCATTAAAACAAAGGACTGCTCCTGTATGAGGCCATCAGTACTATAAGGTTACTGTACCAACAATGCAAAAGAAATTTTCCTTGAAAAATTAATCACTGAAGGTGGTTACTTAGGGGGAGTTGTGACAAATTTTCAAGTATATTTAAGGTAGGAAGTAAAGCAAAGCATCAGTAATTTATGGTTTAAACCAGAGCCTGAAAATTAATAGTATTGTCTTCTTGGCTTTGTGACTACTCCACAAGACACTGACCCTCAAAACAAGTTTACTACCAGATGTGCGGTCACAAATACTCATCTGTTCTCATAAATTAATTCTGGTGTTAGAAACCTAAACATACCAAGCAGCATCAAGTCTAGTGCCTTAAAGCTGGAGGAGGAGAGTATGTGATACAAATACTCGTAAGTGAGAGGGAGATACACCAGGGTTGCCCTGAGACTTCAGATGCTTTCCCGTCTGATCAGAATCCTCTGAAGTTAATGTGCAGCTTCCCATAAAGTGATGGTGAATCAGGTCACCGCTACCTCTAGGTGCTGCTCCAGAAGAACTCTGTCTGCCTCGGATCTGAATTTGACATGAAGTAGTCCATTCCACAAGCAGACTATTTCCATAGACTTACTATTTTGCTTTCATTTTTTGTCAGTGGCTCCAATGCTTGTTTGCTCTTTCAGTGCATTCCATTCCCCCCTCATCAGCTCTTTGAG